ATAATTTATAACTAAAATTTTCTCTTTTTATTTAACAATTTATTTTTCAAAAAAAATTTTTATATACGTTTTTTTAATTTTTAACATTTCCCCTGCAGTTTTTAAGGGTTAGTCTACAAATACAATTTTAAGGCATATGCAGTATAAATTTCGGAGCTTAAGAAATTCTGGCTTTGTTGCTCGACTTTTTCCTCAAGTGTATGTGCAACGCGTGTTGTTTTTTGTTATGTTACGCGCGGGCTCTTGATTGTTTTTGGAGCTGGAAATGGAATGGCAGTTACACACGCACAAACACAAACACACAGAGACACACACACACACACACACATGCTTACTACATATGAGAACATTTCGCACACACACAAATCCCGGCCTCAGTGCCCTGACATTGCGACAGTGGACAAAAAGGGTTTTATTTTACGAGCGGGACTATCAGTGTTATTGTTATGACTGAAATTTGATGGCCTCAACCGCTTCTGGCTGAAACTGAAGCGGGAGCCCAGAAGATGGAGATGGCGATGGCGATGGCGATGGGAGCTACCGAAGCTGTTGTTGAACTAACCATGTGACGAATGTGTGATGAGAGAGGGGGTGAGCCTAGAGAATTGTTGGGTGTATTTTTTGAGAGGGGGGCGGGTCATGCACCCCTTGTCGCTGTTTATGACGCTGACGCAGTCAAACGATGATGATGCCTGACTCCCGCCCAGCTCGAGCCCAGTTACGGCCCAGTTAGTTATCTGTCATGGCCCGGCCGCTGATTAAGCAGCCTTTCAAGCTAGAGCAGATTGGATTTAACGAGGGTCTGGGACACCTGAGTGGCCTAACTCAAGCCATACATACATGAAGCCAGCCAATCTCTCTCGCGCTCTCCCTCTCCCTCTCTCTCTCGCTCTGTCTCACTCTCTGCGTCTGTTTTGGCACTTAAGTTTTATTCGCTTTGCTTTAAATGCTCACGTCGTATTCGGGCGGCAATGCTCCAAGCACCAATTTGAGCCTGGCAGCAAAATTTTTGGCTCCTTCGTGCGAGTCGCTTGCGCGTTAATTTGATGATTATGATTTTCACACTGGCCCTGGAATCGTGCGCATCTTTTATATGCCCATATGTACGCACACACACACACACATGCTTAGATTTATGCCATTCGTTTGCTGCCAAAATAGGCTGCAGCTAAACTGTCGCAGTTTTGTGGCATGCGGCACCTTGGCTCGGCCACGCCCAGCTGTCAACAACGTGCTTTGCATGCCCAACTCGATTCGTTATAAAATATTGTTGGTTCAATTCAATGTCTGCTGCTGCTGCTGCTGCTGCTGCTACTGCTGCTGCTTCTCCTGCTGCATATGCAATATAACAATAGCTG